GTTAATGTAATTAGGTGTTCGTATGCAAAGGATTTTTTCACACAAAAATTACAAATTTGGCTAAATTTTGTTGGCAATTGGCTTAATATCATCCCAATTGATCGCTTTGCTGTGAAAGATTGGCATTCTTTTCATGATTTCTAGGAATTTGATAAACGCGTTTCACAATTTTTTTTTTAGTGTTATGCCGTATTCAATATCTACACACCATATGACATACAATGTCTCACCATAGAGGGCAGTATTCTAATACAACTTTTGTTTTATTGCAGGCTACTCTCACACCCGGCATTCATTGTTTGTTACAACTATGTGATAGAAACGGTTTAGCGTTATTATATACAACATTACCCGATGACCTCAAGGAAGTCTTTAAATCTTTCCATTCAGAGTTCAACAAATATTATAAATACAAAGGAAAAGTTTGAAGAAGTCAATTGATTTAATTTCAAGTTTGCAACATTTACTCTAATATCACATAGAGAGCATACTGAATTTCTCAATCTAAATGATGCAATTGTTAACAGCTAATGTAACCTTATAGAATTATTACAAATAAAGTTTGTCTTACCAATCCAGCTTTTTAGTTGTAAAATTGACAACACAAATTATTTGGTATACTTTAATTGATGTATCAAGAAATACAGAAATCACCCACAATGCCCTATTGATCTAATTTTTGAGAATATTTTGATATTATGAAGCTGAACTGGGTTATCATCTTAAAGAGCTGGTAGTCCTATGGTACTAATTGGTTTGTCTATATAGTTGTATGGGTACTTGTAGCCATGCATACAACTATGATTGCAAATTGACGTCCCAAATTGTTTTTCTTGTATTCAATATTTCTGGAAATAAACCCTAATTCTCGAGCTAACAGACAAAATTTTCACTCAAAAATGTTGGCGATTTTTGTCCCAACCTTCTGAAGAAATGTACAGACGTTCAGCGAGACTATTTTGTGAATTTAAGATGAAAAGAGAGAACTGGTGGTGAAAAGGTTAAAGACAAATTTAGACAATTTCACCAAACAAAATATCAAATCTATGTAGATTTCTTGTCGTGTAGTTGGCAACTAAAATAATGCATGATTACAATGTGTATAATCATTCAGAAATTGAACACAATCACCACTAATCAAAATAAGTTCAATATCTGCCAACAATTGCAAAACTACACACATCAACCATGCCTGGAGTTTGTACTGACAAATCACATTCAACAGTTTGTGTTGGTATACACATGTACATGTTTTGGACTTTTTCATTCTCCACGTAACCCAGAAGTTAATGTCACAAAGCATAACTTAAGAATATTTATGTCACTCTGAACGTGATAAGGTACAAAAGTCGACCAACATTTCTTATAAATTAAAGGACAAATCTGGTAGTCAATATGAAATTGTATGAAGTTCATTCATTTAACAAATGTCATGTTGTATCTGATATGGCGCTGGTTTTTAATAACTAACAGCTCTGCTTGAGCTATTTTTATTACTTTCATGACAATTTAATAAAGCAATGTTTTTACTGAAAGAATAACTGTTTAGTAAGACATGGTACATGTAAGCTGAATTCAGTACAACCTAAAGTTACTGAGGAGTACACACAACGGACACACAGACATCCTTTTCAAAAACACTCAGTAAAGGAATAAACTTGCACATAATACAATATGGATCTTTTATTTAGAGACTGTAATGTGAAGAAAATAAAGTATTAATCGTAAGTACCAACCCAAATCTTGTAATTTAGCTAGACAGCCACAGAATGGATTTATTTTCTGAAATCTATTCATAATAAAACTTAGCATTGTTAAATTAACAGTGTTTTAGAAAACCAGAAATGCATGTTCCCCATCTCAAAATCCCGTTTCTCATAAAATGGCTATTTTTATAGCGTCTAATAGACATTTGCTCACATTGTCAGTACTTGTAAAACAAATCATGTATTAGTCTAATAGATGAAGTAATTTTAGATAAAATGCGGAGAAAAAAAATCCTAACAATTGGTGGTATATATATCAGTCATATTGTACATTATCAGAAGCTTGGAGGGCTTCATGCACTATTCATTTAACAACTTCAGTGCATCTGGTTACTAGAAACTTAAAACATGCCGTAAAATGAAAAAAAGCTTAGACACAAGATTTAGCATGATATTAGATCAGATTTGGCCTCACATCAAATATTAGCAATGCTATTACAGTGGATACCAAAATTAAAACCAAAATCTTCTGATTAATCTGCATTGCAACAATGCCTACAGTGTTTACTTTGACTTTAATGATTGGAAAGCGAAAGTACCTCAGTATTTTATGATAATACTTGAATTTGAAATCATTATACTGTATATTTGTAATCAAATAATTAGAATGCCCACAGAATTCAATAACACAATTTTCATATTTCCCAAAATTATTTTGCTAGACTTCATACATCAACCCCTCCCCCCTTTAAATATTGTAAAGAAAAAAAATGACATCCAAAACAAGATACATCACCATAAAAAATTTCTCTAATAAACTACATGCAACAAGTACATACACAAAGACCACCTGCCCATAGTGACCATCTTTGGACAATCCCAATACAGTTCACATGTAAAATGACCTGTGTATAAAGACCACCTGCCCATCTTTGGATAATCCCAATGCAATTTACATGTAAAGTAACCTGTGTATAAAGACCACCTGTCCAATGTGACCATTGGCCCATTTTTAGCAATGATTTGACCAACTGAACCTGACAGGAAAGTGAAAACTTTAGTAGATCATTGATTGTTTAGTGTTTTACATTAGTCTCCACGGACATCAAGACAAACATGTGTACTTTTATTTATTCCTCATTTACACTTGTCTGTTGACAAATTGCCCTGTTATATTTGTGAATTAATCAACCTCTGTTTAAGCAGCTCCATCAATAAATCAATATACACAGGTTTGACTAGCAAATTGACATCGGTATTGTTGGGGGTTAGATGAATCGTGAGCAAACTTTGTAAGTCGGCAGAAATTTGGGTCAGCTGCTATTTAATATTTATATTTAAAAGTCAGTAAGTTCTTTAAATTATTATCAGGAATTACATATACCACTATATCGGAGAAAAAAAGAGTAAACATTGTTATGAAGACGTGTGAACATGAAAAGATATCTATTCCAAAAGATAATTTGGAATTTGCTCTCAATTTACGCCAAGGATTTTTTATCTGATTTAGTGAGTAAATTCTGCTGACTTGCAAGATGTTGCTTAGCATTGTACTTGTAACCATGGTTTTTTGTTTACATATAATTAAGGACGTACAATCTGTTGAATCATTCTGGCACGGATTGGAAATTATTGTTGCTGCAGCTCTCCCACACTGTACAAAATGAAATAAAAGCTTTAGTTTACAAAATACATACAAAACTCAAATGACAAAAACAGTAATTATTTGCCAGTGTCCTGTCCAATAAAAGAATAATTTGCATAAATGCATCCATAATGGTAAATAAGACTCCCTAGCTACTATGAATCTTTAGCCACAAGTACTCCCTGGGTTCCTGGTTTTTCTTTCTTGTCCAGCTGTCCATCTTCCGTTCCCTGTTCGCCTTGCACTCGTATATTGTATTTTTCTCGATACTCGTTTATTTGCTTGCCTTTCAGTTCTATTTGTTCATTCAGAGATTCTACTAATTTTTTAATCTGGAAAAAAAAAATGTCAGAAGAATATTATCAGTTATGGGACCCTCTCTGTAATGGTCTAAACAATTATTAATTGTTATTATTTTTTACTTTATTTTATTTCATTTTATTTTATTTTTATCTATGATTTGTACTTTTAGAATTTTGTGAGAACATAATCGTGATTTAACTACAGAAATTTCAGAATATATTTCTTTAAATACAGTGCTAGTCTTCCCTCCATTAAAGGAAGTATGTAAAATAAAATAAATACAACATTAGTGAAATGACAATAGCTAATTTGAATATAAATGCGTAATTTTGAGCTCATTTACATTAAAAAAACTTTCTCAAAAAACCAATTGGTAGGTTAGGGTTACCAGAAACACTAATTCTCAGATAGAGGGACAGACAGACAGATGGATGGATGGATAGATGGATGGATGGTGATTATGTGACTTTGTAAAGGACACTTTAAAATGAATTCTATTTTGGTGGAAAGGCATAATCAAACTGATGAAAGGACTATGATCTGTCGTAATACACAGCCCTATAAAATTACCCATAAATACACTAAGATTTGTACCAATGAAAATTAATATCTCTTTTTTACTGGCTTACCATTTTAAACCCTATTTAATTTTTGAGGAGTCCACAGTATTTGTTTTTCAAATGTATATTTTGCAATGTGTGATTAAAACATCAGATTTACCTCAATGTCAGAGAAAAACAACTTTTGGAGGAGCTAAAAATACAGCCAATCTTTGGGGAAAACAATCACCAAAATAAATAATCTCTCTTCTCCCATCCCCTTACATCTAATATAGTATAATACATATTTTTATTTCTTTGTTCCATCCATTCAAAAATACAACCAAGTGCTAGGGATGTCCTTAGTTATCTAAGAAATATATAGATGGTTATAAAGTAAGTTTGTTTTACTGTTGACAAAAAGAAGACTACTCTTAGTTGGATTTTCACCAAAAATGTGGTCTTTTGTTTATCAGAGGTGCTTTAACTGATCATCTGGATATTTGGCATGTACATGTAGCATATATGAACACAGTTTCATAGAACATAGTAGTAAAAATAAAATAATTTTGATCAGTCATATCCTTTTGGATTTTTAACAAAAATGGCAACAATTTGAGACATTTATTTCCCAGGAGATCTTCAACCAACTATATATTTGGTATGTAGGAAATATGGCCATAGAAAAATAAAATAATGTTTATCAGTAATATTTTGGATTTTCACCAAAAATTACCACAATTTGGGACATTTATTTCTCAGGAGTGCTTCAACCAAATAACTTGGTAGTTTTTATGTACTATGGAGAGAAATGATCAGTTGCATGGTATTCAGGCAAAAATTGCCACAATTTCAGTCATTTGTATCTCATAACTGACCATGGAGCATTTACTAGGAAAAAAAAACATAAATCAGTGGGTACATACTAAGCCTTCAAATCTGGATCCAACAGAGCTGCTTTGAAGGGTGAATCTAATATTTTTTGTGACTGACTGACTGTCCGTGTACTCTGGTTTCTTGAATAAACATTGACAGAATCTAATTTAATCAGCATTTTCTAATTTATTTAAGAACACTTTCCAATCATAATATACTTTCACAAAAACTTCAAAAGCAACATTTACTTGTCCAGTTTAGTTAATCCTTCTTAAAATAACACTTGTGTATGTTATCCAGTGTTTATATAGAATGTGTGCTGACATGGAATTATTGTCATATATTTTGCATGAACTATGTGAATAAAATACACATACACTGATTGCAGAGCTGTGTCTGTGTCTGCGCAAGCTCGAATGCTGTTCAAAGAGCTGGTGAAAACAGTTAAAGCCGAGAACAGCACAAACTCACCTAAGAGAAAATCCTGAACAACCAAATTTATATATGTTGCACACGTAGGTGTAAATTTTGCTACAGTGTTCATGCATAGACCTTAGAAAGAGAGGGACAGGCAACTGGATTATAAAACAAAGGATTTCACGACATCCGGTGTGCAACGTGGGTTACTACAGTTATAAACAAATGACCAAGCTAAGGAAGCCGTATGCAGTCACTCACAATCAATCGGCCGCGCAGTTTGCAACACGTCTTTCAGTGCTTGTGCTCATTACCGCAAAAACTCAATTAATTCGCGGTCTCTATTAGTTCGCGCACCCATTTTATTTTCGAACGCTAATTTTTAAAATTGTATCCTATTAATTCGCGGGCCAGAAAAAAATGGATAACTCAGAATATATTGCATGATGACATTAAAAATATACATATAATTTTATGTTATCAGTATTTGGTGTCACCGCAATCGCAGATGATCTCCGTCATCACCGCCTTTCAGTAATAGCAAGCAGTTTAGGTTCGGTAAAGATTTGATGTGAAAAAAATCATTCCCCCACGACACTACAGATGTTGGGAAAGATTATTACTTAGTCGATAAATATCCATCGGTCAGCACATCGATTACGAATTTCCGTGATGGAAAGCTTAGTA